CAACTATTCATCTCACCCTCTTCCATAACCCTTGGCAACCACTGGTCTTTTTACTGCCTCCAGAGTCTTGCCATTTCTAGAATATCATATAGTTGTAATCATACAGCATGTACCCCTTTCAGATTGGCTTACCTTAGTAATAAGCATTGGAGGTTCCTCCTTTTCTTTCCATGGCTGGATTATTATTATTATTTTTCTAAGATGGAGTCTTGCTCAGTCACCCAGGCTGGAGTAGAGTGGTGCAATCAATCTTAACTTACCATAACCTTCAATTCCAACTCCTGGGCCTGAGCGACCTCGGCTTCTTGAGTAGCTAAAACTGTAGGTGTGCACCACCATGCCTGGCTAATTTTTTTCATATTTAATTTTTTTGTAGAGACGGGGTCTTGCTATGTTGCCTAGGCTGGTCTTGAACTCCTGGGCTCAAGTGATACTCGCCTCAGCCTCCCAAAGTGCTGGGATTGTAGGCATGAGTGGCTATGCCCAGCCTAACTCATTTATTTTTAATGCTGAATATATTCCATTGTTTAGATGTACCACAGTTTACCCATTCACCAAGAAGGACATCTTGCTTGCTTCTAAGTTTTCAAAGTTATGAATAAAGCTGCTACAGACATCCATGTGCAGATTTTTGCATGGATTTAAGCATTCAACTCATTGGGTTGAATACCAAGAAGCATAACTGTTGGATCGTATAGTAAGAATATGTTTAGTTTTGTAGGAAACTGCCAAACTGTCCTCCCAAGATAACCGTACCATTTTGCATTCTCACCAACGATGAATGGGAGTTCTGTTGCTTTTGCCATTATCTCACTGTTTAAATTTACAATTCCTGAATGACATGATGCTGAACATTTTTCCATACATTTATGTGCCATCTATATGTAAGATGACTTCGGTGAGGTGTCTGTCCAGATCTTCTGCCCATTTTTCAATTAGCTTGTTCATATTTGTATTGCTGACTTTCAGAAGTTCTTTGTATACTTTAGATAACAATCTTATCAAATATAGATAACAATCTTTTATCAAATAAGCTTTTACAATATTTTCTCCCAGTCTGTGGCTTGTCTTCTCATTTTCTTGACCATGTCTTAAACAGAGCAGATTTTTAGTGAAGTCCAACTTATCAATTATTTCTTTAACATATCATGCCTTTGGCACTGAATCTAAAAGGTTGTCACTAAACCCAAGGTTATGTACATTGCTTCCTATGTTATCTTCTAGGAGTCCTATTTTATATTTAGGTCTATGATCCATTTCAAATTAATTTTGTGAAGGATTTAAGATCTGCGTCCAGCTTTTTTTTTTTTTTTTTGGCATATGGATGATTTGGTTGTTGCAGCACTCAGTGTTGAAAAGACTATATATGTGTGGTTTGGATTTTTAAACTAGTCTGATCATCTCTGCCTTTCAATTGTTATTTTTAGTCCATTTTTCTTTCAGGTAATTTTTCATACAGAAGGCTTTTTCATATGTTGGTTTTCTAATTGTCCCTCCCAACCCCCAATGTTCTTCCTTTCCTGTCTTCTTCTGTGTTAAATGTGTCTAATTCCTTTCCTCATAAGTCATACTTGCATTATCTCTTTAGTGGCTGCTGCTCTATTTTTAAAATCTTTTCCCCCCATTTTTCAGATTGGACACATCTATAGATTTATGTTCAAGTTCACTAATCCTATCTTTTCCAACATTCAGTAGTCCACACAATGAATTTTTCATTTCACGTCTTGTACATTTCAGTTATTGATTTTCCATTTTTATTTTACAATTTCCATTTCTCTGAAATTCTTTTTTTGTTCACCAGTTTTTTCCTTTATTTTATTGGGCATACTTAAATAGGTACTTTAAAGTTCTATTATTAATTTCTATTAAGAAATGCTGGGTCTTTTTTTTTTTTTCTTGATTATGGCTCAGATTTTCCTGCTTCTTTGTATGGCTAGTAATTTTTTAATTGAACGGTAGGCATTGTGATTAATAACTTGTAAGGCGTCTGGCTTATCTTTCTTTAAAAGGTATTGTTTTATTTCTTGTTAAAGGGGACTATTTCTGTTTGAACTTAGTCAAATGTGGTCCATAGGCTGGCTGCCTATTTTTGTAAATGAAGTTTTATTGGATATAGCCATGCCCATTTGTTTAATATTAATATATTATCTGGCTTCTTTTGTGCTATAATAGCAGAGCTGAGTAGTTGTGACATAGACCCTATGTGTCTTAGTCCATTCAGGATGGTATAACAAAATACCAGAGACTAGTATGGAGTATTTATAAGACTGAGTGTTTATCAATAACACAGATTTATTTCTCATGGTTCTGGAGGCTGGGAAGTCCAAGTTTAAGGCATGAGCATATATGGTATCTTGTGAAGGCCTGCTTTGTGGTTCACAGCTTTTCAATGTGGCCCCACATGTCAGTAGGGGCAAGGGAGCTCTCTGGGGTCTCTTTTATGAGAGCACTAATACTCTAATCACCAAAGCCCCCACCTCCAAATACCACCACGTTGGGGATTAGGTTTCAATATATGAATTTGGAGAAGCCACAAACATCCTAGCTCGCAAGCCTAAGTCATAGCCCTTTAAGAAAACACTTGCCAACCCTTGCATAGGGTATGCTACTGATTCCTAAGGTGTCACATTTCTTGAGTAGTAACTAAATACAGAAGTGTTCAATGAGATTGCTCCACTCAGGCTGCAATTCCAAGGATTCTAAGTACTGTATAACTTCTGGTGTCACTGTTCAACCCTTAAGTCCTAGAGGAAGTAATCGTTTGGTAAGACTTTGCAGAGCCTCATCCTGGACATGCACATCCCAGTACCTTTGACAAGTCTCATGCAGATTTCTGCCTCTCTTCCCAATCTTGAACTCTATCTTATAAATTTCAGCTGTTTTAGTACCCAAACCTCTGTTCCATCAGAGTTGCCACTCTCTGACTCTCCTGGGGCTCAACTCCCATGGTAATGCTGGAAAATACCCCCAGGTAGAATCCCACAATCACCATCTGGGGGAGTTAACATCTTGTGTTTTTCTTCTCTCAGGGATCACAATCCAGTGTTGCTTGTTGCTCTATGCCTGAAAATACATGGCAACATATATTTTGTCCAGTTTTAAAACTGGTTTTGGCAAATGCACAAATCTGGCACTAGTTACTTTGTTAGGGTAAGAAAAAGCTGTTTTTGCAAAACAAAAGGTCTTAAAAAACACAGAATATTCTGATGGTTCCACTGATGGTTCCACTCATAGCCTTTCATTTATCTGACACTCACTGAGTTCTCCAAGTAACTTTTTTCAGGTTAACCATGTCCAATTCCCTTAACCACCCCTCACAGTAAAAAATAGACACTACAAAAAATCATAACATGGTGATGATGAACCACCAAGACAGTCCCCATCTTCAGTTTAGGCTAGTAAGCAAGACAGACACCACATATATCTGTTTCCTTTTTAAAATTAACATCTCTGAGTTTGCAGCATGAAGCAGGGCATACGGAACTAAAGGCAATTAAAAGCAGAAGACTGCCTTTCCTTTCTTACTCTCATATCACTCTCATTAGGGGTAGGAACAGATATAGTATTATGAGAAACTGGGTAGAATTTATAGAATAATATATGGTGGTAGACCTGGCAAACATCACCTCCTCTGGACATCTTTAATTACAAACTATTAAAAAAAAATGAATGAGATGCACGCAAGCTTCTGCCTTAAGATCAGTGGTTTCAGGCCAGGCACAGTGGCTCATGCCAGTAATCCAGGCATTTTGGGAGGCTAAGGTGGGCAGATCACTTGACCCCAGGAGTTCAAGACCAGCCTGGGCAAAATGGCAAAACCCTGTCTCTACAAAAAATTAGCTAGGCATGGTGGCTTGTGCCTGCAGGCCAGCTACCCAGTAGGCTGAGGTGGGAGGATCACTTGAACCCAGGAGGTCCAGGCTACAGTGAGCCATGATTGCATCCTTTACTCCAGCCTGAGTAACAGAGTAAGACCCTGTCTTTAAAAAAAAAAAAAAAAAAAAAAGTGTTTTCAGAAACAAATTTTATGAATTTTTAGAGCTATGTTTTCAGTCCCAAAACTAAGATACAATCAGGGACCATTAATCTCATTTATAGAGATTTACCTGTGCTTCTTACAGGTTAGTCCTCTTTAAAATGAAGCTGTCTTGTATTGTTTTAGTTATCCTTAAGTCCCTTAAGAGAAGTTCATTCTGTGATAACACACACTTGGGAGGCTTAGAAGGCATGTCACAAACATTGTCATCTATTTACTGACCAAACATCAAACAAGGGTAGGAATGATATATTTAGTAGGAAAAACTTTTAACCTTAATCTGAGCTTTTGTACAATTTCACAGGGAACAGTCAGAAGGAAAAATAGGTGGCTTTGCTATATGTAATCTATACTGTTTAGAAGTGGCACTAGAGTAAAGTAAACATTGTTTACTACTCTTTCAGTTGTAAATACGTGACCGGGGATAAAGCCAGACTCTTAACAGTAGTTGCAGGTCTGTAGGCTCATGAGGTTTCGGGAGGAACAAATTTTGGTGTGCTTGTTTTGCTTGACAGTATAGATCAGGACTCAGCAAACATTTTCTGTAAAGGGTCAGACAGTAAATATTTTAAGCTTTGTGGGCCACATAGTCTGTCACAATTATTCACTTCTGCTGTCGTAGTATGAATGCAGCCATGGATACATGTAAACACGTGAGCATGGCTGTATAAAAATAGGTAGCTGGAATTTGGCCCAATGGTTTGCTAACCCTTGGTATAGATAAATCTAAGCTAGCAAAAATTGAATTTTTTCAGTTTAATAAAATTTGCAAGATCTTGAAAAAAATGTTTTCCTGTTTTGCAAGTTGCCATTTTTATTGAGTGATTATCTTTTTCTTCCACTGGTAAGATAAAGCTGTTTGTTTTTACCTCAGATTTCTTCCACGTGACCAAAGTGATGCCACTCAATCATACACTATTTTGCATTCTGTAACTTCAAAATGAAACCTACCTTCTCTTGACAGGTAAACACTACATGTGAAGAGTGGTGAAAGGGAACATTGAATACTGAAGTGGCCTGGAGAGGGAAAGCACTGGTTAACATCACATGGACAAATTTGATTGTTTTCTAAAGATGGCCTGGAAGTAGTCTGCCACTGCTTCCTCCACAAACAGCTCTTCATAACATGGGCTGCATGAAATCAAAGCAAACTTTCCCATTTCCTACCATATATGAAGGTGAGAAGCAGCATGAGAGTGAAGAACCCTTTATGCCAGAAGAGAGATGTCTACCTAAGATGACTTCTCCAGTTAACGTCAAAGAGGAAGTGAAGGAACCCCCAGGGACCAATATTGTGATCTTGGAATATGCACACCGCCTGTCTCAGGATATCTTGTGTGATGCCTTGCAGCAATGGGCATGCAATAATATCAAGTACCATGACATTCCATACATTGAGAGTGAGGGGCCTTGAGGCTGTAGGATGACAACACTTTGACTGTGGAGGTGCTAGTTTGAATACATGCGACAAAAGCAAAAACTGGTGTGAAAAAGTACAAATACCTATCTGGATTTAAAAATGTGTCTACGATAATGTCACTAGTATAAGAACACCTAGGAAGAAATGCATTTTAAGTACTTCTAAGTTAACAGAAATTTCTCTCTGTTTACTCTTAGATTTTAGTCATCTGAAGGGCTGAACAGAGGTCCTGTGATACCCAATAATCAACTGAATGTCATAGCACTTCTTCCTAAGTAATGACATCACCAAAGAAAATGCTAAGGAATAAAACCTGCCCCAAATTCCAATGGTTATTTTAAAAGTTGTCCTTTAAAATAACAATTTTTTTAAATTTATACCCAAAAAAGTCCAGATATGAAAAGGGCTTTTCTAAAATTTCTTGGCACGGGAATGGCACTCAAATCATAGTGATTAACAGTAAGTCTTGTTTGTCAAGGATCTCTACTTCTTGACACAAATGAACCCTGTCTTTAATAAGATATTTATTTTTGTAGATGAGAAGTGTAACTACCACCTTGGACCTCAGGGCCCTAACTAATTACAGCTGTTATTGGACGACTCAGACTTTGCCGACTTTGTGCCTAAAGCCATCTTAAAGATAGATAACAGTTTATAGAAGCCATGACATTAGTGTTTATTGCATTGAATTAAGAAGCCCAGTGATATAACTATACAAGAAAACAAGTATGGGTACCGTTTATAAAGAGCAATCCAGTGAATCTTAAAAATAACAGAAACTTAGTCTGCAAGGTAGAAAGTTTCAGTTTTAATTGTGTATTAAGCTTTACTATCTCAGAGGTACAGAGAGCTGGAATATGGGCATTTATTCCCAGTTTTTTCTTGACTAGTGAGGCGGTCACCATTAAAATTACTGTGAGACCAGATAATGCATGAAGATTTACAGTTGTATCGCAAAACAGAAAAGATAAAACTGTCCTTTGAGGAGAGTACTCGTTTTCTGGGTTTTTGTTATTTTTTAGTGGTAACACAAGCCTATAGGGCATTTATAGCCACCTGTTATACTGTTTGTTTCCATAAGCCTAGCTACCTTTTAGGGAAGTATTTTTTCTTTTTCATTTTTACTGTCACAGCACATACACACCTTTTTGTTTTAAGGGATTAAGTACTGTTTGAAGATCAGTACTGTTTGAAGATCAGTAGTAACAGAAAATTTGGAAGGGGGAAGAAGAAATTAAGACATAACTTGTTGGAAAATTAAGACTTGACTTTCTAGAATTATCTTTTCATCAAGATTTGGTACACAATGAGTTTAAATGGAAAGGAAATTATTTAAGCCTGTGTGTGTTAGATCCACAATACACCACTGGTATTGAAAATATAAAGGTTAAAAAAAAGGCTTATTACCTCTTTAATGAGATAAATATGTATTTGTCTTGTAAGCATGCAGAAAATCTACCTCTAATTTTAGCACTAATACTTTGAAACCCACAATCAAATAGAGTGAATTCTCCAAGTTACATGAGCAAGGAAAACATTATTTGAAATATGTCATATTTCAGTTGCCTTTGGACACGTCATCATTCAACTCTAATTTTACCAAGTCCTGGGATTTGTACTGTCCCATTGTACTTGCAATCTACAATTTATATAATTAATAGAAAAACAACCAAACCCATTCATACAAGGATCTGAAGTTATAAGGTTAAGGGCAGAAAGTTTCCCGTAAGTATAAAACATTTCCAGGTCATGAAGAGTAGTTTAGGTTGAGTGACAAAAGCATAGATGTGGTTGTTTTTCATTCATTTTGCATCTCACACCAAGACATTTTTTGCTGCAAGGTCATTTGCTGCTTAAAATGTACAGTTAGGTATATAAAATAAGTACAATGGTGAAAACACAAAGCCACATAAAGCAGCATGTCCCACTAAATTTTTCAGTGTACATAGGGACAGAGACAAGTGAGTTTTGGTTGTATCTAAATATTTTGATTTCAGGTTCCTTCTGTGCCCTGGGCCACTATTTCCCAGGGGTGTAACAGGGGGATGACTGCCAGATCCATATTAGCTAGAAGTCTGATCTCTGTTGCTGCCCTTCCTCAGCAACTATGGCAGTATAGTTTTATCACCAAGCACCATTCCCTTGTCCCTGAATCACATTTTAATAGAGTACGATATCTTGTGTACAGTATTTCCGAAAAACTTATGTCTGAAATATATGCTGTATTGTATGTCAATCCATGACATATATGAACTACAAGGCTTGAATAATCAGTGAGCTAGTGGATAAATCAAGACAGGAGCAGATGGGAGAAAGATGAATAAGCAAATGCATTAAAAAGATGAATAAATGAATAAGAGATGAATAAACAAATTTACATTACATGTGACAGTTATCACGATATAGGTTGGCATTCAAGATGGATGAGAATATCACTAATAGGATATTGGCCTTCTTTCATATCTTTATATTGAAATATGGGTTTTACTTCAATTTGAAGGTCTTTCATGAACAATAAAAGAGAGTGGAAGGACAGTCTGAGAAGGCAGGAGACATATAAAACAGATGACTGAAAGAATCTGAAAGACTGAGTAGCTCCTGGAAAGGGAAACATTTGGAACATCCAATGTAAGGGCAAATGGGCTTCTACCAGCACAACAAAGAACCTCCAGGTGGCAACTGTGGAAGCAGGTTATCAGAGAAAATAAATGTGCAAATTCCTTATTTACAACAACTCAACCCCACAAATATGCTTCACTGCTGCCTTCCCCAGTTGTCTCTTATGTACTTTTGTTCCCTTTCAGTTACATGCCTTTGATCCTAAAATTCTCTACTTTTGTTGCCTTATCAGTTTGCAATCTTGCCTGTGGTTATTAGCATTTAAAGCACAATTTTCAAGGGGACAAAAATGATTATCACCTTAGTCCCAAAGAAATAATTTCTGCCAAACTGCCTTATTAGTATTAAAAACAGACACACTGAATGAAGTAGCATGATACGCATATATTCTACTCAATATCATTGGCCTTTTATTAAATGGGGAAACTATACTTTTGTATTACATAGTTTTAGAAATGAAAAGTTAGAGACTCTTTATAAGTAATGTCAAGGAACAGTAATTTAAAAACAAAGTTCTAACAAATACATTGTTTGCTTAATCACAATGCCCTTATCTTGTATTTGAATGACTAAATAGGACATGTCTTCCTTGGAGCTATGGGCATTAGTTCAGAAGCACTACCTGCATCTTAATTTTCAAAACTCAAGTTTTATTAGCAAATCCTCTTCTCTGTAAGACTTAGCTAGCTATGAAGTGGTATATTTTTTCCAAATATTTTTCTGAAAACATTTGTTGTAACTGCACAATAAAAGTCCAGTTGCAATTAAGTAGTGTGAGTTCTTATTTAACTGAAGCAAATGCTTTCTGACATTGTGTACTTTGAATTTTTTAACAATATAAAAGACATTTTCTGCATTGTTAATAAATACAGAGAACAAAAACCCATTTATACAAATAATTTCTTGGATCTTCCAGATCCAATTTAGGACCTTTAAGAGTATAAACGTAAATGTATCCAATATCATGGCATCTTTATTCCAGATCTGTTACTGAATTATTCGAAAGAAAAATGCTTCACGTAAAACAGTGTAAGAACTGAGAAAACATAAAGCAGTACCTTCTGGGCTGACATTTCCTCATCTATGAGAAGGGTGCAGGACATGATCTTTAATGTCTTTTTCAGAGTATGGGATGAAGGAGAAACTATAACAAGTTACAAAAAATTTATTTTGTTTATAATTTATTTTGTTTATAAACAAAAATTACAAACAAAAAATTATAAATTTTATTTATAAACTTACCTTTAAAATTATTTAAACAAAAATTACAAACAAAAAATCATAAATTTTGTTTATTTTGTTAATTTATAAACTTACCTTTAGTTTAAAAATTATTCTTGCCTAGAACTTTAAGGTTCTGAGTCTGGAATACCTTTTAGTTCTTTCATACCTTAAAAAGTACTTATTAACAATATTAATTATTGAATATATCTTTTGAACGAAAATCTTCTTGCTTTCAATTAATTTTTTTCTCCTGACTTGAACCTTGTTTGTAAGGATAATTATCACACACAAGTCTTACGTAAATTATAAAAAAACAGAGTGTCTCTATCTAAGAGATTGGAGTTTCCTAATTTTTCATTATACTAGATTAACAAATATCACAAATAACAAGAAAATAATGCTTTCAGTTTCAACATGGGATGGTATTCTGATTATTTTAGGGAAGACCAAGTCTGAGTTAATACTGAAGAGGGACGTTAATAAAAATCTTTTCTCTTTGGTTTCTAATATTTATAAAAGGAACTCTTCTGCTACAGTAACTCAGTTACTTTAAAACACTCATATATGGAGAAAATTCTATGAGGCATTAACACAGTATCCAAAACAATTTTCAGGGTCTTTATTTTTTATATTTTATACTTGATTTCATCAACATACAAGCCACTACAAAAAGCCAAACAAAGATCCCATTTCAATTAGATATACTACTCTAGAGAATCTCTAAAGACCTTCACATTTTTCCATCTTCTAAAACAGGGATTGACAAACTTTTTCTGACAAAAACCAGACAGTAAATAATTAGGCTTTGTAGGCTTTACCTTCTCTATTGCAACTACTCATTTCAAAGCAGTCACAGATAATGTATAAACAGATGAGTATAGCTAGTTCCAATAAAGCTTTATTTGTGAACTCTGACATTTCATATACTTTTCATGTTATGAAATATGAGTCTTTGATTTCTTTTGCCAACCATTTAAAAATGCAGAAACCATTCTTGGCTTGCAGGGTATATAAAAAACAGGCAGCAGGCTGGATTTGGGCCACATGCTGTAGATTGCCAACCCATGCTACGAAATATACCTTAAAAGCCTGTCACCTCAAAATTTCAAATCATTGCTTCCCAAAGACTTAAAGTGATTATTCAAATCTTCATCAGTAACTTCTTTTAGATCAGCTGGTTTCCATTTTGGACTCTGGTCTTTATCAATTAAAACTGTCAAGAGAAGATACAAATGTTAGTACTATTTTTTTTTCTAATATTACCAGATTTTACTTACTGAATTGACAGAAATTCTTATACTAGGCACATTTTTCTGTAATACTTTTTTCCTGCAAAGTTCTTATATGTTTTCTATTTATCTTTTAAATTAAACCTCCAGGGATGGACAGCAATATACTTTTGATGAGTGGGTGGATATTTTCTAACTTCCTAAGCCTCATGTCAGCTTTAATAAAGCCTACTGAATTAATCCAGTGGTTTAAACAACAGAATTCTTTTTTTCTTCTTGAAATAAAATTGCAAATGAAACCTCCACATACAAAACAGCTAAAACCAGTGGTTTACAGTAAAGGCAGGGGAGGGCAGAGGGACCAGGTGTGCCTTCTAACCTCCTCCACACTGAATTTTGGGACGAAATTAATTGCTTAAGGTAGAGAAAAGGGGACTTCATACATAATTAAATGTGGATACTGTTGTTCTGCTGAATCCTCCAGTTCAGACAGCTCTGGATTTAAAAAAATCAGGTTATCATGAAACCTTCTAGTTCTTCTGTTTCAGTGTAGTCATCACTCATTATAGCCACATAGTATCCCCACAGGATTATGAGGCAATCTGTAACTTCTTAAAAAAAGGGGGGAGGAATGTCCAGTATACTGTAGTTATACAAACGTTATCATTTGGGAGACTGGGAGGAAGGTATGCAAGATCTCTATATAATTTCTTACAACCGCATGAATCTACAATGATCTCAAATTTTTAAAGTTATGGTTGTGGTAGCAAATTTCAACCATGCTTTAAATGCACATAATTCTTGTGAAGAATGGAAATACTTAAATGTGCAAACTATAGTGACTTAGAAAAACCTAATTTAGCATTTAAAGGCTAAAATAGTTAAAGAAGCAGTATGGGAACCAAGGAAGAAGGCTGCCTTGGTAGGTAGAGGGAAGCTTTTACACACAATTAAATGCAGATACTGGAGGTTTTGTTTTTAAGATTTAACTACCTACTATGAGATTCTGGTATCAGATCAGTGGGATATTAAACACTGATGTTCTGACCCCTACTATTTGAAAGTTTTATATTCCATGGACAGTGTAAACGAAGAACAACCCTGGCACATTCTTTCCACAAGAATCCCTTTCACTGTTAAGTCTTCTGGTCAATACTACCTGTCTCCTTGAGATCCCACTGAAGGACCAGAGGAAAGAGACTATTAATCAAATTTGTTATTTTATTTCAAGCTAACAATTTTTTTACTAGAATATATATAACATAAGTTTGTGCCATGTAGGCAGCTCAGGTTTTGCAAGTCTCCTGAGATAGCCACTACATGGAGTTTGAGTGGGTATCCAGCTACAGTAAGATAGTCTCTTTTTTTCCTTCTATAACCAGAAAGTAATTTGTTCTAGATGTTAACAGTAAGAATTTTTAACAACTGTTAAATTTGCTAACTTACTTTAACTTGCTAATGTGTTTTTATTATTAGCAAACTGCAGCAAACATTTGCCTATGTAAGAACACTACAATTTTCACTCTCAAGAACAGACACTGCTTTCTGAAAGAGGCGGCAATATACTTGCTCTTCATTAAAAAACAGCACAGGCCAGGCCCAGTGGCTCACGCCTGTAATCCCAGCACTTTGGGAGGCTGAGGTGGGCAGATCACGAGGTAAGGAGATCGAGACCATCCTGGCTAACATGGTGAAACCCCGTCTCTACTAAAAATACAAAAAAAATTAGCCGGGCCTGGTGGCGGGCACCTGTAGTCCCAGCTACTTGGGCGGCTGAGGCAAGAGAATGGTGTGAACCCAGGAGGCGGAGCTTGCAGTGAGCTGAGATTTTGCCACTGCACTCCAGCCTAGGTGACAGAGCAAGACTCCATCTCAAAAAACAAAACAAAAAAAGTAGCATAATAAGCACTTCCTTTATGAATCAGAACTTTGATGCTGATTGGTTTCAACATTTTTTCCTCAAAATAACAGTGTTCATCTAAAAACATCTTTCTTTTAAAGAAGGGCTATTACAACATATAATGAATACTTGAACAATATAACCCTGTATGCTTACAGGTCCTCTAAAATCAGAGGTCTAGGCTGTAATCCACATGCAGCAAGAATGTGCAGAGAATTCGTGAGGAAAATGCCTATGTTACTTAGTTTCTACAAGACACATTGCCATCTCCTCTGATCGACTCCAGGTGCTGAATCCTAAAAAGATTTCAATCAAGTCCTTATTTCTGATATTGTATCATGTCAGAAATGAAAATAACTCCATGAAGAGTGATTGTCTATCAAAGCTTAAGAGTTCAGAGAACATAACACAACCTTTTATTAAGATAAAAAAGTATATCCAGGCTGGGCACCGTGGCTCATGCCTATAATCACAGCACTTTGGGAGGCCGAGGCAGGCGGATCACATGAGATCAGGAGTTCAAGACCAGCCTGGCCAGTACGGTGAAACCCCGTTTCTACTAAAAATACAAAAATCAGCCAGGCATGGTGGCACGGGCTGGTAGTCCCAGCTACTCAGGAGGCTGAGGAATGAGAGAATCACTTGAACCTGGGAGGTGGAGTTTGTAGTAAGCCGAAACTGCACCACTGCACTCCAGCCTGAGTGACAGTGCAAGACCCTGTCTCAAAAAAAAAATTTATCCAGAGTCTGCACTACTATAGTAAAATAATAAAAACAGGAACATTAGATATGCAAAATACATGGAGAGGGAACAACTCATTTTATACAACATAAATAACAGCTTTTTATAGGGCTAAGAGTTACACATAAAAAGGAATTATTGCAAGTTTGCTAGAAAAAACAGTCAAGCACTTCCCTTGCTTTTTCTAAATCTGCTGACACTGGAGATAATAAGCAAAATGGAAAGTATTAATAAGACAATCTGTAGATGTTACTAATGATGTCATACAGTCTTTTTCCCCAGCAATGTTTAACTGCTGAGGTACGGGCAGGTGGAAAGTAGGGTTAGATCACCGGTCAGTTTTGCCAGACCAGCACAAAAGAGGGAGAAAGGGTAGGGGATTTGAGGGCTTTCTGTAAGGGAATATATGCATGTTTCAGAGGACACAGCAGCAGGATGGCAGCAGGATGAGTTTACAAGCTCAATGCTGCACTTATCAGAGGTAGTCCATGATTGTAGGGGCAGGATTACCTTATATATAAATTAGGGAACAGTGGCCAAGTTATGTGAATTTTTAAAACAATTATCAAAGACTGATCCTCCTTTTCATATCCCAGATGGTAACATATTTTTTAAAAACATACACAATTTTTCAACCTTCATAAAAGTTTTACTTTCACTACTAAAACAACTA